GTCCCACATTCATATACAATCTTTTCAGAACCTCTAAATAGAAAAGTTGATTAATAGTCTGACCTGGTGGCACGGACTTCAAATGTACTATGAGTCAACATGTTCATCCAGAATGAGGTTTGTCATCAATTGACATTTCACCTTTTTTTTTGAAACAAGAAAACCACTTGTACACTTGAGTCTTTCCCATAGTGCTGTCCTTGTAAGCTGTGTTCAACATCACAACAGTTTCTATGGCATTTTTCCTGAGCAGAAAAGTTTCACATAGGCACACTGTTCTCTTAAATCGGCCATCATAAAAAAAAGGTTCAAGAGAAACTGCTCTTACAAACAAATTCACTGTGATCAGAGAGAACCTTCCCAGGTGATGCTACTAGGTGCACTAATTCAGTGAGAGTTGGTCGATGCTCCCCTAGTGGAAAAAAAATGCATATTATGAGAGCTCTGCTCCTCCCAGCGCAATTTGTTATGATTTTTTTTTGGTGCCGCTTGTGTTTCTTCCCAGATAGATTTGTTTGTCCATTTGGCAGTCCATGGTACTTTCAATATTCTTCTCTAACACCACAATTCAAATGCTCTGATTCTTCTTTGGTCTTCTTTAATGTTCTACTTTCACATGAATATGAGGAAATGGAAAAACATCATGGCTTGGGTGAGGTGCGCTTTGATCCTAAGAGAGTCGGGCACAATTTGCTATGGGGAAGAATTTCTGGAAGAGGGAATTTCCTGCAGCTCAGTCATGAAGACGCAGTAGAAAGCAGTTGGGATGCAATAGGATTCCCAGGCAAGGACAGAAGAGCCTGGCAGAGTGGTGAGACCAGTCTTTTCCCTCACCTCTGTTCTTCCCACTCGTGGAACGTATCACAATCTAAAGATATACTGCTGGTGTGGCATTCTTCCATGTTGTAGGAGTCCCTGAACTGCAGCCCACAATGGACTGTTTCTACATGGCTTGAGAGCTAAGAGCTACAATATGCATATTTCTTTCTATGCATTTCCCCAACTGTCTAGTTTATGTGGAATTTCGGGACATTGTGCTCCTGCAGATAGTTTATGGGGTCTGGAGAATTGTTCTTTATTCCTTGATTTAGAAGCGTTGCAAGCAGAGTTTTATAACCACCTGACAACTTTCTCTTTTACTGCTAAGCAATGTAATACCATCTTCTGCTTGCAACCCAAACAAAATTATCCCATGGACACTAGGCTTAATGGGATTAACATAAAGGCTTTTACTTCTTAACTTTGTTTAGGCTAGAAAACACTTCTTATAAATGGATATTTTTCAAAGATTATCCGTTTCTTGTAACAGTGGCAAATTCACTGGATGCAGTCACTTAGAAGCCTAATCAAACCTCACATTTTAGCAAAGTCTTTCCTAATTTCTGGAAGGAGAGTTTCTTTCCAGAAAGATCTACAGCACTCAGTCCCGAATTTTTAAAGTGGGTCTTTACTTGGGCCATGAATCATTACCTATCCAGATGGCAAATATTTGTTAAATGCAATCTCAGCTCTCCAAGGGCATAAGAAATATCTCAAAACTTGATATGGTTTTTGCAACTGCAAACACATGGACCCATCATTATTTCCCCGTGATGTGAAAGTTGAATCTGCTGAAGCCAGTAACATTTTACTCAGCGAGTCTCTGCTTTTTAAAGCCATTTGGGATCAAACTTTGCCAAGGACATAGCAAGGAGGGCCATGCTTTTCTTTTAACCACACTGATTTCATGTTGGTTTTAATTGACCGTATCATGAAAAGGTGTCATAGAAAGCTGTTCAGATAATTTGAATTGGTTTGAAGACTAGCCTTATACTATGCCTAATATTGACAGCATTTCCAAAGGGCTTGTTTCTTAATTAAAAATACTTCATTGTTAGTAGTGATCATTCTCTAAGTGATTTGAGCATGAGAAGTGAACTTTAGATACTGGCAGAAAGATCCTTCCTGGTAGTTAACAGAATATCATGAAATTTGTGGTGGAAACTTTAATTTTAGCCAGGGAAATATTTCAATGTAGAATTTTCCAACCGTTTAATTTTTTACCTTAATTGATTTTTAATTAATTTGGAATTAATTAATTTTACGGACTTTGGGAGCTACTCATTTAAAATGCAAGTAGGGACAAGATAGTTATAAATATGTCTCAGAGGAAGTACATGCCTCATGGTCCTTCATCTCAGGTACTGTGGAACGTTCTCGGGAGACATCAGTCCCCAGGAAAGGGCAGTACACAAGGTCAGTGGAAAAGAGAAAGACCCTCAAGGAGATGATGGACATGGTGGCTGCAACAATGGGCTCAAATATCCCAAGTGTGAGGGTTTTGCGGAACGTTTTGTTCTGCTGTGCCCAGGGTCGCTATGCATCAGAACTGACTCGAGGGCGTCTAACAGCACTATAAATATGACAGACTACAATGCAGAATTAACTTAGAAAGAGGCGGAGGCAGCACATTGCTGTGGAAGGCACACAAACCTGTTGTAATCCAGGCTCAGCCACCCAACTTGCTGTGTGGCCTCTGCCCAGGTCATTACCACTGGGTCTCACCAGGCTCATGTGCCGACTGAAGGGATTTCCCCGGGTAAGGGTGGTAGGCTCAGAATCAGCACAGATGTTCAGATTCTAAATACAAGAACTGATTTACCTTTGAGACCCGGTTCTCCCTTGTCCCCCAGGAAGCGGGATATTTGAGAAGGCCCTGGAGCGCCTTTGTCTCCTTGCTCCCCTTTGACTCCCTGAAGCCCTGTCTCGCCCTTTATGCCTGTCATCCCAAGGCCACCTGAGAGACAGGAACAACAACATTAGTTAAGCCATTCACATGAGTCCAACAGTTCACAGTGTTGAGCAGGTGAGAGATTAGCACATTTGTCCCTTTGAGGGGAAAACGGCTCAGGGACAATGAAGGCGTTTGTCTTTGTCCTTTTCTCTGTTGCCGTGCAATGGAATCCTACCCTCTCCCTGTGGGCTGATGCCAGTACTCTTGGAAGGAGACTCCATCACTCACCCCTCTGGCCAGGGTCTCCTGGGTTCCCAGGAGGACCGGGAGGGCCCATATTTCCAGGAAAGCCCATCATTCCAACCATTCCTCTTTGTCCTAAGGGAACAAATGAACACAAAGCAGCATCCGTTGTACAAAACCATAAAGCAAAAGAGCCTCCTCTTAAAGCAAATTAGACTTAGAAATGGAGACCAAGAGTTGAAGCAGTGTCTCTTCAGTTAGGAAAAATAATCATATCTGTATAAGGGATGGGTCAGTAAATGGTCTGTTTTATATCATTGATTTGGAAATCATTCGGAGCAAATCCCATTTATGGAATGGAATGTGGAGCAGATAATGGTGAAGTTTTAGAACTTCCCCATACTAACATAGTTTTCTGTGTTCATATATTATCTCATTCATATTCCTTGTCTGTAACTGAATTTTGGTTTTAAATGTATTTGTTTGTCATGTTCTCTCCCATTATGGGAGGTGGACTCTTGTCCATTCATGTGTCGTTAGTGCCTAGCAGGGTGCTGGCGTGTGTTAGCAGCTCAGTACTATGAAAAACAAAACACAATTTGCTGACATTTTTCTCAGAGAGGGAGATCAGTGAGGTCCTTGGGCCATAAAGACACTCTTCAAATATACCCCCTCAGCCCCCAAAGGTGTACTCCACAAAAGTATCCATGAAACAATAAGGCTTACATGGAAATATTAGGAACCATTACAGACCAGAAAATTAGATAGCTTAGATGAAATGGACAAAATGAGCAAATTTCCAGGGAGACAACAATTCAGAAAAACTGACTCAAGAAGAAATAGAAAATCTAAATAGACAAAGAGATTTAATTAGTAATTTTCAAAGTTCCCACAAAGAAAAGCCCAGACTTACATGCCTTCCCTGGGGAGTGCCATCAAATGTTTAAGAAATACCAATTCTTCAAAAACTCTTTCAGGAAACACGAGGGAAGGCAACCCTTCCCAACTCATTCAGTATAGTCAATATTGCTTCCATAGCCAAAGCAGCAAAAGGCAACCCAAGTTACAGACTCTACAGACCAATGTCCCTTATGAACATAGATGCCCAAAAATCCTCAGCAAAATACTAGAAAACTCAAGTAAGTGATATGTAAAACAGATTACACAGTAAGAATAGTTATAGCCTGGATAATTGTTACATGTGACCATTCTAGCATTACCACTTCCCCTGCTCCTTGACTATAGTGCAGACTAGTAGCACAGTAATTCAGAAGATACTCAACTTAATCAGAAGAAAAGTATCGATCCAAGAGTCTACCTACCTGTGCCTGTACTCAGTTTACACAGTCATCTTGAAGGAGAAGTGGAGAAGGACAGAGAAAAGAAAGACAAGGCTGCACAAAAAAGGATCAATACCTGGTGGCCCTTGAGAGGCTGGATTCCCTGGATATCCTTTTTGGCCAGGTGGTCCAATCTCACCTTGATGACCTGGCTTCCCTGGTGGCCCAGGTTCTCCAGGAAGCCCTGACCTATCCAAGCCTGGTATACCTGGGTCTCCCTTTGACCCTGCGACACCTCTTCTTCCTGTATATGAACGCATGAATAAAAGAGTTAGCAAGCTAGTGCTTTCTTTACCAACCTTAGAAATATTCTATGGCTGTGGGATTTTGGGCAAACTACACATTTATGTGTGGAACTAGTCCTTAATTAATCTCTAAGATCCCTCCTGGATCCAGCATTCTCTTCTCCTGCAGCAATATTAGTATAGCATTTCGATCTTTATTCTAGTCCTTCAAGTGGCTCCTGGAGCTACACGTTACCTGCTTCACCTGGAGAAGACAAAGATCCCCTTAAAGCCACATGGAGGTGACCCCCTAGGTGCTTCTGTCAACAATAGTGGTACCATAACAATGAAAGTCTTGGGAAAAATGTATTTGTGAACAGATATACTCTGTTATATGGCATTGTGGACATACATACTATGTTGTATGGCACTTCCATCTATATACTATATACCTATAGGATTAAAGTATGGTAGTCTTTAGGGGTCAACTGAATTCAAATGTATTCTTTGCTAGCAACAGTTTCTGAGATCTGATTGCGGGGAACAAAAAGGAGCAAACTTCCCATGCTCTTCAATGCCTATGTGTGATTCAGATTTCACGCTGCGACCTTTCTTTGACGTTTGTTGTAAAAGAATCAACTACAGATTTTAGTTTCGAACATGTCGAAATGTTACCTTTACATACCTTCACTCTATTTAATTAAAAGGATCGATACATTAATCTAATATACTTCTGGAGGTATATTCTGGAGGTACAAACCTCTTCAGAGAATGGTGTCATGGTTAACCGTTCTGTTGCTAATCAAAAGGTTGGCAGTTTGAACCCACTAGCTGCTGCGTGAGAGAAAGGACATGGGAAGAGTCACAGCCTAGGACCCCCGATGGGCAGTGCCACGCTGCCCTGTGGGGTTGCTATGAGTTAGAATGGACTCAGTGGCATACAACAATCACACATCCTGGTTGTTGTTGTCAGGTGCCATGGCATCTGATGCGACTGACAGCAACCTAGGTGCATGAGAACAAAACACCGCTTGCTCCTGCACCATCCTCACAACCACGGTCATGTTTGAGCCCATGGTTGCCGTCACTGTGTCGATCGATCCGTCTCATCTAGGGAATTCCTTTTTTTTTTTTGCTGCCCCTCCACTTGACCAAACATGGAATCCTTTCCCAGGGACTGATTTCTCCCGATAACATGTCCAAAGTACATGACACGAACAGCATACATGTGCTGTTGTTGGTAGGTGCCAGCGAAGCAGCTGCGACCCATAGTGACCCCGTGCACAACAGAACGAAACACTGCAGGGTACTGTGCCAGCCTCACAATCACTCTTATGCCTGAGCCCATTGTTGCAGCCAGTGTCCATCCATCCTGTTGAGGGGCTTCCTCTGTCTCGCTGCCCCTCTACTTTACCAAGCACGATGTCCGCCTCTCCGGACCACGCGGCCAAAGTTTGTAAGACCAAGGTCGTGCTGGCCTCACCTCCAAGGACCACTCTGGCTTTGCTTCTTTCAATTCGGATCAGAGTGTTCTCTTAGCACTTCACAGTACTTTCAGGATTCTTCCCCAGCACTGACGCCCAGGGGCCTCGTAGGGCAGAGTAAGGTGGTTCCGTGGCATTTCTAAGACCAACTCTTCCTGGAAGCAGGAATCTCATCTTCCCCCTCAGAGTAACTGGTGTGTTGCAGCTGCTGGCCTTGCCGTTAGCAGCCGCCCCACGAGGAATCCACTCACACTGCCACCGCTCCTTCCTCCATGGCAGTCAGACTTGGGGTTCTCACCGCGCTGTGGCCAGGGCTTGTCGAGGGAGTTCCCGTTTGAAGCTGCAAAGCGCAGGGCAGGAATCCAGTGCCACCTGCCCAACTAGTGACTGGTGCTGAGTCTGCCCTTCTCCTACCTGGTTCTCCTTGCAATCCATTCAAACCCGGAAGTCCTTGAGGTCCCCTGGGCCCCTCCATACACTGTCCTGGGGCGCCTTTTCCTCCGGGTGGCCCAGGCCACCCTGGATCTCCTGCAAAAGAGAACCCACAGACAGATCTCATTTTATTACATTGACTTTTTTCACTTCTCAGATGTTGTGCTTAAGGTAACAACAACAACAGACGAAAGGTTTGTTGCAACCCTGCTTTGGGCAAGTCTACCGGCGCCATTTTTTTCTATAGTGATTGTTCACTTCCTTGCTTTGATGTCGCATTTAGGTCATGCTTACAACATTGAAAACTTGTTCATAATGCACAGGGAATACACTACAGTATGAGGGGGCTTCAAAACGTTCATAGGAAATTTCCACTATCTTTTAATTCAATTTTTCCATAAAAATTTTGAAGCCCCCTTGTAGGCTTTCTACTCCTATAAAGCATTAGTCTTGGAAACACCCAAGGGGCAAATGGCTCTACCCTGTTCTAAAGGGTTCTTAGGACTCAGAATTGACTTATGGCAGTCATTTTTGTATGACATAAACATAAACTTCATAAACACTAGGTGACAGACACAACATTCACTTTATTGTGTGATTTGCTTTATTGCAGTGTTCTGGAATCAAACCTGCAATGTCTCTGAGGTATGCCTGTATATTCAGGGGCCCAAAACTCATTTATAGAGGTCTAGATAAAGACATGTACATATGCAAATATATTTATATGAGGATGGGGAAATAGATCTATGTGCCTATATTTATAGGTTTAGT